TAGAAAAGCTTTAATTTTAACGTGGGATTAACTAGCATATAATGCAAAAAAGTTTTAAGCGCTATATGATAGCTTGTCCCAAAGGAACCACTGCACTCACAGCAGATGATTCAATGCTATCAGGATTACAAAGAAAAAAAGATTATAGTCGACTTGGATGATAAGAACCAAGGGTTTTATTTAAGCATTTCTCCTGCAGGTTAAATAAGCTTGATGAATAAAATCTTAAATTTTCTCATGCCACATAAAGTTTTATGATCCATTTAACGGAAAGTAAAGCCTTAAAATTGAAACTTTCCACAAATTGTAAAATGACACCTGAAGTCGGCCTCTATGAAGGATCGGGACATTGCGCCTTTTTTAGTGGGACAAACTTCAGTCAGTTCTTATTTATTACCCTTGGAAAAAAGAAGTGTCCTGGATTGTTATGAGATAAATATAGATCCTTTATCAGGATCAACGCAACTGATAAAAGATCTCACAATAGTTAGTCTCTGTTCTCCCAGGAAATGAAAGATCGTAAAGAAACAAATTCATTTTTGGTGCCTTATTAAAACATTTGGTCCATCGAAACTCGAGGATCCTTCAGAAGCCCAGGAATAAATGCACGTTGTTTTCTGGGAGGTAAAGGAAGGAATATTTACCCCTAAGTATCTGACTGGCCTCCTCTTTTGTTTTTTTTTAATCTCTTTTGAAAATAGAGCTCTTGAGAAGCATTCTGGGATATATCTGCTCACCTAGTGAACATGAATGCACACTACTTTTCTACTTTTCAAGGTGCATTGTGGGAAATTTTGAGTCCATAACTTTTTTCACCCACTAGACATCAGGGTACTCACATAAAATTGCATAACCCCTACATAGTGCCCTATATAGTGGTTAAGGTGGATGTTTGGCCACAGCCTTGGACTTATTGGTGGGACAGACTCTTAGCACATCCCCCCCGCTGATTAAACTCTAGCTATTATAATCACTTTCAGGAAGTGGCTTTCAGAGATGTGAGCCCTTTCTTTACCACATGACAATCATTCTCACTTCTGTTTATTTGCTTTTCTTTTTTTTCATTTTGTTAGGGAGCAGGGGAAATTTTTCCTCAATGTGATGACTCATTATAAACAAGAAGCAGCCAATATGCAGACCCTCCTTTACCTGCCCATGGATTTGCTCTCTACTTGCTCAGTTGTTCTGCATTAACTGACCAAAGCTCACGAGGAAGCAGCTGATCTTTCATCAGTTTAGTTTTCACTTCTTCTTTTTCTTCTTCGTCTTTAGTTGAGGATATTTAACGCCTCGTGGCCCCTGTGTTAGAGTGTGTTTGAGATTTATATTTTTGATTGTTGATGACCCTCTTCCTGCCTGACTCTATAACAATTCCATTGCTGGCGTCTTTTTTACCTTTAGCGTAGAGTTAACACACAAACATCATGACGGTTGGTTGTTCTGGTGCAACACCTGGCTGCAACTTTCCTGCCCAAATCCTCCAGGCAGCAGGGATGTACTTTTTATTCCCCCATTTTTGCTTAATTTATGTTAAAGAAAAGTTAAGTGTTGAATCTGTGCGATATTTGCCATACAACTAATAAAAAAAAAGGGATTAATGTAATCAAGGACTAACTGGTTCACTAGTTCTAAATAAAATTAAACAGTCGTTTTAATGAGGTTCTTTTGTAGATGATTCTGTGTTGAATCACTGGATGCTTATAAGGTAGAATGCTAAGCTGTTTGCGTGAGTTTATTTACATGATGTTCACTGTTGAGGTGGATATGTAAACGACTGCAGCAATCACAATATTGTGGATTTATGTTTGGGTTTCTCTTACTCTATACCGAGGATTGGCACAATACATCACATGGGTTCTAAATGTTGTCTTTAAATGATCTTAAATAAAAGTGAATTACTTTTACTGGTTATGAAACTGGTCCAGAAGTTTAATCTTTGACCTAAAACTGGCTTTTATCTAACATCTAAAAAGTAAAGCATTTCTCCCCACTTCCCTACCTGAAGCTCCTCATAGGCCACAACCAGAGTATGGCTCACGTGAGGCTGGAGCCATGAAGAGCTTGTAAAGACTTCATAAAAGTCTCTGCCTGCTGGCCTTTGGACTCAGTATTGAATAATTAAAGTATGTTTTATGGGCTGTAGTGAAGCTGCAGAATCACAGACAGGCCCAACATTAGAGTTAAGAAAACTTCCTGAATGAACCATCCCGTTTGGGTTTTTAACTCTCTGCTGCCATCTGCTGGAGAGAAGATAACGGCCTACGCTGAAATGTTTCCTGTTTGTTGTGTCTCTGCAGGACCTAGTGGACTGGAGGAAGCCCCTAGCCTGGCAGGTCGGCCACCTGAGAGAGAAATATGATGCATGGGTTCATCAGCCAGTCGACAGACCCATCCGACTGTTTGGGAACCCGTTCATGGAAGCTGCAACCAAAACTTCCTGGTATTGAACGTTCTTTATTACTGCTAACAATGGCACATTTATGTCCTAAACTACAGCTTGCTGTTTGTTGTTTTCTTATTATTTTACAGCTTTCACACCTTCAAATTGAAAAAAATCTCCTTTTTTCCTGTATATTCCATCAAATTGTTTAATGAAAATGTTTGAAATTCTGACATGTCAAATAATCCCACAATATTTATAACTGATCCGACCCTTTAATCCTAACAAATCTTAAACAACTTGAACATGAAACAGGAATCTTAAACTTTTGTGCTTCCCTAACATTTGTAAGTCCTAAAAAAGAAAATTTAGAAGAAAAAAAAAAGCAGGATTACGTGACAAGTGTTTGGTCACACCACATCAGAGTAAAACTGAATCTAGTTTAGAGCTTTATTATTTACATGCCTTTGTTTGATCATATTTCACTTGTTAAAAAGGTATATGCAAATCTTTATTTTGGGATCAACTATGTTTCAGTTATTTTATTTTATTGTTTAATTTTGTTTTTCTCCTCACTTAAATACCTGACCTTTTCTAAAACAATTGTTGATAAATGAAATGAGGAATTATTGAACTAACATCCCACACAGATAATAAAAATAATTAGTAGTATTTACAAATATTTTTATTTTATTATGGCACTTTCATGCCTTGATGATTTAGCCAGCGTATGGCGACGTCCCGGAATCTTCTAAAACGCTGGCATACGCTGAACTTTATGTATTTTTTCAATTTTGGGCGTATACATAGAGTATTCATAACGAGTCCAGAATTTCTGTCCAACGACAGCCTAACTTATTACATAACGCACAGCAGCGTAATACCCTTAAAATGTTACAAGCCAGTGTCCTGAGGGGGGCAGCAATGCACCCGGCCTGCATAAAAAGCACACGAAGTAGATTTCTCTAAACTTTGCTGTCACGGTATTAACCTAGCTGCTGTTTACCTCCTGCCAAACTCCTATTCAAAACTCATAGGTTTTGGATAAGCTAGACACCTTGACTTATCAGTAACTCACAATTTTAGTGTGTTAATGGTCACGTAACTTACCCGTAACTTATGGCGCACGTATGAACATACGCTGGCATACATCAAGATTTCTTGACGTACTTTTACAGTATGTGGTCGTGTGACAGCGTGATAGTGTGCACATAACTTACAAAAAACCTACCCATAACTTATCCAACGTACGGCAGCGTTTTTGCCAAATTTTTCATACGTTGCTATATGCTGGCTTTAATTGTAAAGGTGTGACAGCACCATAAAAAAAAAAAATGCTAAAATCTGTTTTCATGGTTAATTTTTTTCTATAGGTACTGGGTCCCTGTGGTCTGGCTTCCCATTGTCTTCTATCTTTGCTGGCACTGCTACACCACCCTGGCACAGGGCACCACACGGCTGGAGCTTAGCTCAGGTAGGTAACAGCAGCACACCTTGACGCACAGGCTGCATGTAAATGCATCTTCATCTCAGCATGGATGCATGTCTTTGCAGAGTTCTCCATCCCGATCCATAAGTACATGTTCCCATTCCTTTTTCTGTTGGGTTGGTCCCTGTGGACGTTCATCGAGTACTGCATCCACCGCTTCGTCTTCCACATGAAACCGCCGGCTCATAACTACTACCTCATTACGCTGCACTTCCTTCTGCACGGCCAGCACCATAAGGTAAAAAAATGGCTTTATGACGGACAGACATGTTATATATATTTTATTTTTAAACATTTCTTTCTTTTGTAATCCCTTCATAATGTACTCATTCATTAATAAGGGGACCGTTCACTAATTCCTTCTTTTGCTTCTACCTTCTGTGGCGTTTCTCCCCAAGTCTCCATTTGATGGCTCTCGGCTCGTCTTTCCTCCTGGCTTGGCCTCCATAGTAGTGGGGATGTTCTACATGACGCTGTGTAAGATGCTGCCGCAGACCCTTGGCGTGTCTGTGTTTGTTGGTGGGCTATGCGGCTACGTCGTGTACGACATGATCCACTACTACCTTCACTATGGCTCGCCAAAGAAAGGCTCGTACCTTTATGGCCTGAAGGCTTACCACGTCAAACATCACTTTGAGCACCAGAGATCAGGTGAGGAAACAGTTTGATTATGAAGGTTGTTGTCTCTACCTTACCTGCAGTAAATAGATCTCAGTTCAGATGTGTTTCCCCACTGTAATAAACCTGTTATATCTGTTATAAGCCTCTAACGTAATAAATCATTATAGATCAAACTGCAGATCTGAGGCTGTTCGGCTCATAGAGCAGCCTTTAAAGGGTCTTTATCCGTCTAAAAGAACAAAGTAACCAAAGAGATTTAACGGGCCAGTCTGGTCCTCGTTCTGAGTAGATCTTAAAGAGTTTTACACCCAAAACTTACTTTTATCAACCCAGATAAAAGATGTTGATGTCCATGCTGCCTCAAACACATTGGTTTGTTAAAGTATTATTTAAACCTCATTACTTAGCACAGTTACATTAGTGCATTAATGTCCTACTTTTTGGGGAAAACTCCTGATAAATTTCTTTTTAATCATTTTTGTACCAAAGTTCAAAAGATAATGTTAAAAACAAATTATTTTAAAGTAGTTTTTATGGTTAAAACATACAATCCTCTGTGATTTAAAAAGCTTCAACATTTTACAGTAGTAGCCATTCAAAATTTCCTCACTTCTTTGTGGGCCCTTGGCTGGTCCTCTACAATTCCTTTTTAAACATCAATCCTTGTACTAAAATATTCTTTGTCATGATTTGTCGACATTATGATCTAAAGAAAAGCATCAGCTCCTGGTCAGACACTAATTTATTGAAAGAGTGGAGTCAGAGTAACAAAAATGCATGACCAGGAGAAGGCCAGTGGCTAGAAGTTGGCAGGGATTTGGCTGGGCGTCACAGGGGAGTAGGCTGCAATTCGGCTGGAGTTTGACCGGGAATGGCCATTTTTTAAATGGCTGCTACTGTGCAGTAGAAAGCTGATATTTACCAGTAACAATGACTGATTAGCATTACCATGCTAATTCAAAAGAAGGTCCAAATTATTCTAAAATGCTTTAAATCAATTTATCTCACTTTTAGATTTCTTCCACAACAGTTCTCTTAAAATAAAGACAAAAGTCAAAGAAAAAATGGCATCTAGGCCTAAATTTATAGCTATTTAGTTGTAAAAGTAACAAACTTGCTACCAAGCCATTAATAAATCAGACTTTCTTATAAATTCTGTCAATTGTGTGTTTTATTATTATTTCAAATCCTCTATTTTTAGTTAGCAGTTTTTGCTCTGCCCCTTTTTAAAGTATAAACTATGCAAAAAAAGTTGTTTTTTTTTAGACACTTTCTTTTGGTTAGTGAATGCAACAAACATTTACAGTTTTCAGGGAGGTCAAGCTGACAGCCCACTTATAATGAATTCATTGTTTTTGCTCAAACCTTTCTGCCTCATTCCTCCATCATTTCTGGGATGCACTCTCAACTATAGAAAGTTAATGGAAGAAAATGTTTTCCCTTTTTTTTTGTGTGCAGGTTTTGGAATCACAACCACATTCTGGGATCATCCCTTCAACACAGCCATCCCAGATGAGAAATTCTAACCTACCTTCGGCTCTTCTGAAAGGGCCTCTGGACTTATCAGCCTCCCTAATTAGTGACCCGTCCACCTGTTTTACCCCCCGGCTGTTTAAGCACTGCAACAGCCGACTCATCCATATCGCTTTAACACAATAAATTTTCTTCAGATCATTCATACCTGTGTGAGGACCAGCCTGCTCGGATCTCACTTTGATTGTTTTTGCACTTTTGGTGCCATTATTAATCAACAGACGGATGCTTCATGATACAGACCCTGTCAGCTAAACGTTGACCAGATTAGCAGCTAGAATATTCACCAAGCTTACTGTGGAAATCATTTGTAATAAACATGCAAACAGACTGAAATGCACACATGCTAAAGCGCAGAGGGGGAAAAGGAAGTGGCAGATGGTGGGTGGATGTGGCAACAGGTGTGTGAGCATCAACGAATCATTGTCCCTGTTAAAGCAACTCAGGAAAAATCACTTTGAATGTTTGTTGTTCTCCCTTTAAGGAGACCAACTCACCAAAGCACCTGCGAACACAAAATCTTTGTTTTCAGATATCTTGATCCAGTCAGGCTTTAATTTATTAAACATCTGAGTTCGGTTCTACTGTAATTTGAGATGCTGCTCCAGATGTTTGAAACATGCACATATTTCTGCTGTGATATTCCCTGTTTTCTTTTCCTCCCTGTTTGATTTCATAATGTACAAAAATAGTCTTTATTTTTAGAATGTTTTGTACAAAAGAGGAGATGCTTTCATTGTATGAGATCAGATGTCTGTGAATCGGTGGGATGGATTAAAGGAGGAACAATGTAAGGTGTCAGAGGGATGGAGCTGAAGGAATGAAGCACAGCTGTTGGACGTACTGCTGTAGGGATCTGGGGATCAACGGTTACAGAAAATTACTCTCAGAAACAGACTGGAAAAGGGAGACAAAGGCCTCTGGTTGGTTGTTGCTCAAATTTAAGTAAGGTGAGGAGAGCAATGGTTGACCTTCTCAATAAACCTCAACAGTAGAAAGCAGTTTGTAGTAAGAGCAGCAGCTACTGCCATCTAGAGGTGACTGGTGGGACTAATGTTTACTAACTATTTAACAGAGAGAAGCCCAACAGGAGCTTTTTCAGTTATTGTGACAAATCTGCATAGAGAAATAATGCCTGCAGCTTTATATCTTTAACCCACGGCTCAGACTCTGTAGGCATCATTCCTACAAATCCCATCAGGTTTCATAGTCTTGACCTTCAAAGATCATTGTGGATGAAAACCTTAGGGAAAAAAAAACAAAACAAGGTGTCCACCTGCTTCAAATATTGATATTTGTGTAAAAAAAAAAAAATGTAAACAACCACTTTATGTCCATGTTTTTTCTTCAGTCTGTCTCTGAGCTGTTTTGTTTTAATGGTTCCACCTGGGTGTGAAGCTGCCTGCTTATCTGACCCTCAGGTCCCTGCAGAGGGTGATAATTGAACTATTTGACTCGACAGCAGGACGTCCTGACAGCTGCCAGCTGATCTTCAGCAGATTCCCACAAGCACACCTAAGAAAGGAGAACCGATAACTTTAAGCAGAACAAACATAAACCAATAACACGCAGAAATCTCCTGCATAACTTCATTTTAATCAGCTTCAGTACAGATTAGGCTCACAGGCACAAGTGTATAAAACAAACATATTTTAGGTAACCATAGGTTATGATGAGTTGCATTTTTCAGTAAAAATTATAGTTAAACAGAGGGGGTGTGGCCGTTTGGACAACAACCAGGGAGCGGAAAAGAACGAGTTCTAACTGATCCGTTAATGTGTTGTTTTGTCAACAATTAATTTAAAACCAAAATGCTGTTTTCTTATAAATAGCTAAAAAATGTCATGATATAATAACTAAAGAGCTGATTTAAACTCACACCCTGCTCATCAGAAGGGTTTTTTTCAAAACCAGGGGACCAAAAAATTTATAAGAATTTTCTATCATCTATAATTTTAGAGTTAATAAAAGAAAGATAATGAGAAATATTTCCATTTGTTGGAAAAAGAGATATAGTGATTTATGTACATTTATGTGAAAAAGAAAACTCTTATTCTCACCTGTAAACTTCTTTGTGCTAAATAATGCAACATAAATAATTATATTTCCAGAATCTGTTTACTTTGTCAAGTTTTATTTTGGAATTTCTATGCAATGGCAAACATGTTTGTAAATAAATGTATATTTCTGAAACGGGTCTGTCCTGTCATTCTTTTTATTAACTAAAATGTTTTATATCAAAATATTTATAAACAACATTTTGGTTTTAATATACCTTTTATGAATTATTGATTTCATTTTATTCTGTAATTTATTTTGCACAATTTGATAGTTCAGAGAGTAAAACGGAGTTCATTTTACAGTGAAAGGTTTTAAGTCTACTTCTAATAATTCTGATTATTACGGCTCAAAATGATAAACACAAAATTCAGTGTCAGTTAAAAGAGGAACACTTTAAAAATGTTAAAATTTGGAAATTGATGCTGTCCCACACTAATCAGCAAATCACCATCTAAAGGTTTCCTGAGGCCCATCAGTCAATAGAGTAACAGGAGGAAGACTGCTGTCTGGACAGATGTCCAGAGGACGGCTATTAGCCATGCTACATGAACAAAAAAGTAATCCAAATACATATGGGCACAAAACCATATAATCTGCTCATGGTTTGCTTTTATTGCACCAAGCTTTATTCAAAACTGAAGCACTCTCATATAGAGGTTTCATATTTCCACTTAACCATGGAAGTGTTGTCCCATGTATGAATATTTCCACATACGAACTGTCCCAGTTAAGGCAAAGGGTCGGTCAGGGTAAAGTTTTTTGTTTGTTTTTGCGTCTGTAATTCAATTCATATGAATAAGTAAAAACGGTTATTTAAATGTAAAAATCAAGTCTAGATATCAAACATCTGAATATTTGTGTTGCTTTGTTAAATTAGAGACGCCAAGCATGATTCCTGCTGATCAAAATCAGACAAAATCTTTATTATTAACTTAAAATAAGTTTGGGAATAAAACTATGAGATCTCCAGACTGAAGTGGAACAGAAGGATATAACTACATTTTCACTAAAATCATTTACAATTTGTCATAATCAAATATGGTGCGCATTCATGTTCAACTGAGGTTTCTCAATCAACTCTGTTTGACTGCACAGTCTGTAAGCGACAACATTAATGAACTGAACCTGTCTTGAATGCATGGTTTAAGCAAGCCAGGCGTCCTTTTGGTGAAACCCAGCAGCGACCTACCATTTTGCACCTCAGCTGAGTCAAAATTGGGAGTTTGAGTCTAATTTTTCTGAGCAAGTTTTATAAAACACCCTTCAAGTGAGAAGTTATGATCTCTGATGGGTACTTTGAAACATTTCCAACATCTGTTTGAGAAGAGATGAAGTGAATAATACGAGGAGCCAACAGCAAAGAGTCCTGATATAATTGTGTTGAATTTAATTCCAAGAAAAGAGTTCCTCTCAATTCTACAAAGGAACATTGAGTGAAATAAAAACCTTACTAAGTAAACGTACCTCAAAAATCAGAACAGAATTCAAACACAAAAATGTTAGACATGTGATCAGAAAACTCCACATAATGAAGCTTGACCTGATTAAATGCAGATAGGATCAGTTTACAGGAGCTGAGGTTTGCTTGTTGTTCTCAGACTGCAGTTCTATCACAGATAGATTGGTCAAAGGTATGAGCCATGCCTGTAGTTTAACAGGTTCATGGCCATTAGAAAACATCCAGGCCTGTGTTTACACTTAAAAATCTGTTTTTGATTTTTTCATTTCCAGTCCAAGGTTTTCCACAGCAAAACCTAAGTCAGACATCTTCACGAATCCTTATGGGTTATTATTCATTCGTAGCCGACCAGTCCTCTAACATGCTTCCGCTAAAAAAGGTAATTACAACATGTCATGCAACAAAAGCACAATTTGTGAGACCTGATGGATACAGGGAACATCCTTCTATCTGCAGCACAAACAAGAACCTTTTGTTTGCACTAAGGTGATGCATATGAGGAGAGTGATACTGCTGGGGTAACAGCATCAGAGGAAATTATGCTGAGAGTGAAGGCATGCTCGGTTCTAGGAAATCCTCTAGAACCTCCAGAGATAATTTCCCATAGAAAAATCCACAAAATGAAGAACATTATGGACAACAGTGAGCATCCTCTTCAGAGTAATGTTAAACATTATTAGTGTCTTTATTCAGAGGCTTCTCCAAATCCGGTGCAAGACAGACCGCTACAGAAGATCCTTCCTGCCTGCATGTATCAACAATGTTTCAGTTTGTTAACAGCTTAAGCGATTTTGTTAACCAATTACTTTGATAATTTAGCAACCTTCTCAGAATACCATAAAGAAAATGCAATAATGTGAAGGCAGTGTAAAATACTTACTCCTGGGATGGCTGCTGAGTTATTATGACTTATTATAGATTGATAATCAGTATTATTACATAACTGACTCAAACAGGGATCAGAAACTCAATTATTGGAAAATGGGTACAACATAAACATCCAAAATACATGGAAAATGTACCCCTCTGCCATAAAGGAAGCTAGTCTGAAATGTTTGCACCTCACTATGAAATGAGGGTAAAAAAGAAAAAGAGGAAGAACTAAGGGACTACAGATACGACAGGAGACCTCTGAAACGGGTCTTTAACAAGAAAACGGCAGATGCCGTGTGGTGAAACTGAAATGTTTCTGAAAGCCAAACCAGCAGTCCAAGGTTTTCCACAGCAAACCTTAAGTAATAAGTTATAATAATATGCAATAAGACTGTTTTTAGTTTTTTTTTTTTTTTTGCACATCTCTGGTGTTGCTTCTATTTTCATATATCCATTACTGTAAAAATGTCAACAGCTGTTATTGATACAATAATCTGTTTATTTTATTTTCCTATCTGTTATTTTTATACACTTTTCTACGGTGCACATTGTGTGACCACTTCTACTATAACCTTTTTCTGCTGTAAACACCACTATTTCCCCATTGTGGGAAAATAAGTGGATTTTCTAGGCTTCTATTCTATTCTAACGCCTAAACAGAACCAGAGCCAAAACAGACTGGGATACAGATCAGGATCCAGCCAGAGGACAAGGCTGGGATGGAAGGAGAGCTCCTAACAATGTTATTTAACAAGGAGGTGATTATTTTAATATACGACCAGGTCGGTTTAATAAAATAAAACACTGTTAGGTTGTCATTGTCTCAGGAAAATGTATTTGATGTAAAACAGTGAAGAGGGGGAGCTTTTTATTTGCCCCTGTGTGTCTCATTAGGAGACTCTTTGTTGTGTTTTCTATGATATTTAAACTACGGAAGAGGATTAGGGTCACTGAAAAAAGTTATTTTTTTTACATTTTATTTTAGTATAATAAGACAGATTAGTCAGAATTCTTACTTTGTTCTCAGAATTCTGACTTTTTTCTCAGAATTCTGACTTTTTTTTTTTCAGAATTCTGACTGTTTTACTGACAGGTAACAAACATCAGTATCAAGCTGTAGCCATGTCCGTTTTTGAGATTGTCTCTCTTGTTTTAATCACCTTCTGTTCTTCCGTAAATGAAGTAGCATCACCGGGGACCCTTCGGGCAAGTAAAAAGTTGCCTAATTGCGTCATTTTCCACCAATGTGTTACTGGCCCTCCCAAACAACTCACATCTTTTTCAGTGAAGCTGAGTGCTCCCACATCTCTTCCTTTGTCCATCTACATTAAGATCCACAATTCTGAGATTAAAGTTGGAATTCTGAGACAAAACTCAGAATTGTAAGATTAAACTCACAATTCTCAGAAAAAAAATCAGAATTCTGAGAAAAAAGCCAGAATTCTGAGATTATAAAAGTCAGAATTCTGACAAAAAAGTCAGAATTCTGAGACAAAAGTCAGAATTCTGAGATTAGTCAGATTCTGACTTTTTTCCCATATTAAACTGTAATAAAATTTAAAAATCAATCAACTTTTTTTTTCAGTGTCCCTAATCCTCTTCCCTATTAAACAAACTGTGGCATCTGTGGATGTTTTTTCTTTTTTCAGCTTTTATCAACATAACAGTCAGACTAGGGGCAGTAGGACCCAGGGCAGCTGCAGCAGCAGCATTTAAACAGGCAGCTGGTAGCAGGGAGGAGCGTGGAACACCAAACAATCGTCCACGCCCTGCTGAGAGTGAGAAGTTCCTCCGCATTCCTGTCAAACAAACCCACACACATCCAGAAAGCTGGGAGGAATCAGTCTCTGAGGCTGGGTAAGTGTCTGCAGACCGGCTCCTCTCTGCTTTCTCCTCTGATAATCTGCCTTCACAACACTTTCTGTTTCTATGCATTCAGACAGGAGTTTGGGCCTGAAGAAGGACCGGAACCAGAACCACCCCATCATCATCATCAGAGTCCTGCCAGGTGTTGTATTTCCTGACTCACCCCCTTTCTCACCCCTGAATGCCTCTGAGTGTCAACACCCGATCAGAAAACCTCCCATAGCAGGAAGTATTTATCCTTCCTTAGGAGCCTTATTTAAGGCTTTCAGCGGATAGAACCACAATTTCCTGAAAAATTAGGTGCAGATCCGCGTCTAACGTCTGCAGCGACTAACTGAAACACCAGCATGGCTGCAAATACAAAGTCTGCTCAGGGTAGCATGCAAATGTTAACCAACAGATAATGCAAAAAGGGAAATGAAATGTTTAAATTAGGACTGTTATATGACTGCATAGGAATATGTAATGGAAAACAAAAAAGTCAATTCATGGATGGTTTTAGACTGGTTATAGCTCAGCTATTACAGCTAAATTAACTTTGAGATTTTTGTTGTTGAAGCTTTTGTTTTGATAAAGGTCTAAAAGTTGTGGTAAACTTAATGTTTTAATAGTTCCTTAAACTGTAATGACCTGCAGTTTTTTTTAATATTGGCCGCTGTCTATTAAGATTTGTGTTGATTTCGCTGATAAGCATAATAAAAAAACATTCCCAGGTAAATAATATACATTTTTCTTCCTTATAACAAGTTATGGCATCAGTGGATGTGAGAACAAGGGCGTTTCTTTCCACTTTTTAACAGATCTGAGTGTCAGTTCATAGATGCAAATATACTGTTCCACATTAAAATTAACAGGTCGCATTAAAACCATTGGTCTATTTTACAGGGATTTATCATAC